TGTCGTGGGTCCGAGTCCCGCATACAGGACTGTGGATGGGCAGTGATTAAGCGCTCTGTAATGGGATGAAACGACCATCCAGTGCTTCCAGGTTTTCAGTAATGGTCTATCTTAGATCGACTCGTCAATTCATCTGTGAAAATACTACAACCTCCACATATTGACAAATTGGTTATTTACTTCTTATACAAGTCTAATGTGAATTGTATAATACATATGATAAATCACTTAGGCATAATAAAAATCTCTATAATTGTGTTGATTTAAAAAGTAGTCAGCACTGTCATTACTTCCATAAATAATAGGATGAGAATGAACTTGTACGGTTGTGCAGAAAATTAGTTCTGTTCAAATAGTTTTGTTGTTCAGTATAACTACATTTTAATTTTCCGTTAACATTTATTTCGATGATTTGAAGAACCAACCTTATTGCAAACGTCAACATCATTTGCAACTACATCCTAATAGAATATAATTGTGAAAGGTAATTGTGCATTAGTGTATCAATTCATCTCAATATTTTATAAAACAGGTCATAATAAAAATATAAACCCAGTTCAAGTTGAAAATGTATTATGATATACTACCTCAGTAGATATGTTAAATGATAACCAGTTCACTGTAGTTTGTACTGAAAAAAGGCATGAATATTATTAAACCAAGCTCAGAAGTATTATATATGGATGTGTAGACATTCTTTGTCATATGGTTAGCTACCGATCAATAGTTTAATGTAATTTGACATTACTAAGTGATAAACACTTTTGATCTTGTCAAGTAATTAGCCAGTGAGATATAAGATCATTTATTGTTTCTCAGTAATATTTATTGTTGAACAAGACAGTTCTTATAGTTTTCTGAAATTAAAATTTCTTTGATATTGTATTACTTTCTGTATTGAGATATAATATCATAAATTAACAGAGACATATGTTAAGCATGGTCACTTTCGACTTCAAGATTATTACTACAACGCAAAATCTACACAGCTATATTTACAAGCCCAATGTTACTAAACCGCGTGTACTATTGATCGTATGCGGTATATGACAGAAAATATGACGGGACCCAAACTGTCATTAAACTATTAGATGTGAATGTAAAATACAACACTTCAACATTTCAGAATAGCGTTGTGGAAACTATTGAATTTGGTTGAAATAGACCCTATAACGACAATTATCATGTGCTCAGTAGCGAATAATCTCAAGATGTAAGTCTAAGAGTTCTAGTAAGAAGCTGCAACCACTCGAGTTTAGTCGTGTCACATCTGATGAAAGTACCCACTGAAGACAATGGGAGATGATTGCGCAATATCATTGATTTAAGTTATACATTAACAATATTGGATACCGGCTCAATGGTCTAGAGATGGTGACGAAGATTTGTAGCTCAGGTGGATGATTTTGATAGAGTTTTGTTCTCTGAGCTGGATGGTTTGGTTGTGTCAAGCGCCCGTAAGCGAGACTGAACGTTCTGGATTCATTTTGTGGATGTGCATTCGTGAATTCATACTGTTAAGGAATCCGATACTAAAATGAAATGACGGTCCATTGCTTCTAGGTTTTCATTGGTTCTCAAAGATCGATTCGCGATTTCAGTGATTTTCTTATTTCTTTAAAATAATTCGGTTGATATTGGTTTAAATTGTAGTCGTTCGATACAGATATTCCCATTTCAGCTAATTCGTGAAATAACCCTAACCAATATACATTGTTATCGATAAAGATTTATTTTCATTAGTTGAGACCATCAATCACTTGAAGCTAAACCACCATGGAAAACCTGGAAACACTAAACAGCCGTTTCATCCTATTGCGGGACTCCTCAGTAGTGCGCATCCGCGACCCCGCCTTGCGAGATACGAACCCAGAACCTATCAGTCACTCTCGCAAACGCTTAACCACTAGCCCATCATCCTAACAAAATGTAAGTTTGCTAAACTACATGTATAATATCGGATTGACTGTTTACCGGACAGTGTGATGGTAAAAAAATGAACATGTGTAACAAATAAATAAAATCGTATTTTAAGAAATAGTGAAGTGTAAATAAAATAAAATGTACATTTTTACAGTAAATAGACTTGTTGTTTAGTCCATGCTCGGGTGTTTAGTTGTGCACATCTCATACAGTTTCGAATTAACCTGGTACGATGAATATGGATTCACTTCAGTGTTTACACATAGGATGGATCTTATATTATATTTATTATTCTTGGACATCACAGATCCCTGTAGATTTGTAACTGAATAAATTTAAAATGTTAACCCAAGTAGCTTCTATGATAGAGACGAAAATTAGGAATCGAAACTTCACATTTATTAAATAAGAAACCGATCTTGAATGAACAACGATTGAAAACGTAGAAGCAATGGATAATCATTTCATCTTTGTATTGAACTCCTTAACAGTACGTATTCACGAATTCATATCCACAAACTGAATCCAGAACGTCCAGTCTCGCGCGCGAACGCTTGACACCTCTGGACCATTAAGCCGGTATCCAATATTGTTAATGTATAACTTAAATCAATGATATTGTGCAATCATCTCCCATTGTCTTCAGTGGGTACTTTCATCAGATGTGACACGACTAAACTCGAGTGGTTGCAGCTTCTTACTAGAACTCTTAGACTTACATCTTGAGATTATTCGCTACTGAGCACATGATCATTAGTCTTACCGATGGATTTGTGGATATCATACAATTTTCGCAGTTTTAACATCGAACTAATCTTTGTTCGTAATTTAAAAAGTATAAAAATTCCATAATTTCCACTAAACCTTATACTAATGGTCGTAGAAAGCCTAAACGAATTCATTCTACCAGTTTCATCCAGAGTTCGCTTAGATATTGAAGTTGAATCCAAGCTGATCAGCTGGCGTATTGCTGAACACAACTGACCAATTTTAGTTGTCGTTCTTAATCAGAATGTTCATGTAAAATTATTTATAGTTATAGAAAGTTGTTCTATTTGAAGATGATCTAGGTTGTGTACCGAGACTTTGGGGGTCCATTAATTCAAACATATTGAAACTTTACAAATATATTGTGTTTATTATCTTACATTCTTGTTTAAATGGAGCATATTTAATCTCTTATCCTATTATGATCTTATCACTTCACATTTGCAAGTCATCTTATCCGCATGTTTTCCTTTTGTTACCTTCTTGATATTGTTCAAGTGGATAATCTTTCCTACCTCTCTCTCTTCTGTGTACATTAGTTTCATTTTATTCACCCTTTGATTATTACATTAACTTGAGGTTGTTTTTATTAACTTACAGCCTCTTCGTTGATAATACAATCATCCAGCTTCATTATAAACTACGAAATGTAAAATTAATAATAAATACCATTGTATAACTTCGGCAAATGGCATAATCGAAAGGAATTTATCTGAACTGAATGATATTTTATATAATGAATTCATTATTAGTTCACACATTCGTTCAATATTTTTGCTTTTTTGGTTTCAGCAGTTGTTTAATCGTGGTTAGTCCATGATGTAAACTATGAAATTCAACAAATTCCACAAGTTTCATATACAAATAGAACAAAAACAATTGTCTTTATATAAGAAAATTTAAATGATCGATTTCAATACAACAGTTGTATACAAACTCATGTATCTGACTGTAATTTGTAGCATTTTCACTACTATAAGTAAAGTAATTAGAGGATGAATTGACTCTACTGCTACTGATAATAATAATATTAATAACCATAATAATAATTCAAGTCCTGTGGCTAATGACGGTTGTGTATAAAGTAACATTTTAGATTAAATAATTATGTAGATTGATTATCTTCAGCTAGGATGACCCGTTAATTTCGAGGCTATTGGACAACGTAGTTGATAGAAAATGAATATACATTTTCGTTGAAACTGAAACGAAACTTCTGTTTCGCACTAGATTTAAACATTGTGTCAAATAATTCAATAGGTACTGGAACTTTTTGGTATTAAGAAAGCACTTTTCATTTTTGTGTTAGGTAACACAATATCGAAGTAATACACTCAGAATATACATATGAGAGACTGATCAATTACAGTCCTATATACCAACAATGGAAAATTACATACCCTAAATAACACTTCCCATTATTTATTTTCCCCACGAAACGAAATAAAAAGAAACTATATTTTACAAGTATATATATGTATATATATACATAGAAAATTGTATAGTCAAGATATGATTATTCAATCAAACGATGATATTTTCAAATATGAAGTAAATAATTATTATCTTACATGTAAAAGAGAAAAAAATAATCAGAAATTATAATAGTTCTCCCTATTTAAAAAACTAAACCCTTTAATAATTCATTATTTATCAATAACAATAAACATCACTCTTGATCAGTGACAATAAGTGATATTTTATTCTATAACTTGAAAAAAGAATCTATTGTTTTAAAGATATGTGAATTGTGCGTTTATCAATCAGTTTATTGTAATACATTGAGCAGAATTATTAATTTGCCTTTTGTTAAATAAACAATAAAATGAATAAAAATGAAGAAGAAGAAGAAGAAGAAACCATAAACTAAAGGAATCACTAGATAAGGGAAAATGTAAGTTGTTTGTAAAGTATCCTCTTAGTTATACACATGTAGATGAGATAAAATGAATAACAGTAAGTGATAAATTGTTTTCCATCAGTCTTTTGTTTAAAATGGTATTACAAGTAGAACTGTATAAGGCGAACATTTTAACCAAATGATTTGGATTGATTATTTGATTAGTTATCGATGAAACGGATGATTTATTAAAAAGATTGAAAGCAACAACAACAAAAAAATATGTAAAAATAAAAACAGAATTAAAATCAGTTAAATGAGGTAAGGAAAACCTTGTCTTACAATGTTACTATTAATAGAATTGATGCTATCAATTGTATAAATGATTATATTTCATTTGGTGATGAATAAAACTAAGAATGAAGTGAAAAATATTGATACAAATTTACTGATCTTTATTATTGAGTAATTAATTAATTAATTTAGTTACACTCCATGATAAATCAGATTGTTGATGAAATTCCATTTTTGATAATTTCTCTGATGGCTCTGGCGAGAAATAGGATTTCTCTTCCGAAGTTAATGAAGAATTCATCACAGACCAGTCAGATTTATTCGTACAACCAGATTCCAAATGTTTGTTTAAATAGGATTTTAATGCAAAATTTTTATGACATTGTTTACACTCGAATTGTTTCATACCTGAATGTGTTTGCATATGCGCTCTTAGATTAGATCGATCAGCAAATGCACGACCACAATGTGCACAACCATATGGTTTCTCACCTGTATGTGCACGTCGATGACCTTGTAATAACCATGGTCGACTAAATGCTTTGCCACAAATATCACACTGATGTTTCAAATCATGAGTTAATAAATGCATTGATAATGCTGGCATAGATACATAGGCTTTACCGCATTGTGGACATTTTCTAGCTGATTGACTATCCAAACTACGATGTGTTTGTTTATGTCGACTTAAATTTGATGATGTTGCATAATTTTTACCACAATCTGGACAACTATATCGTTGTGTTTGTGTTTCATTGAGTGTAACTAATAAAGAAGTTGAAGAGGATGTAATACTTGATAGATGAGATTTTGGTAAAGTATTATTCAATGTATTATTTATTACTCGTTCTTCATTTGTACAATTCGATAAATCATCAAGTGAACATGATCTTGACGTATTAGTTATATTTGATTGTGGACTAATTAATTGCGATGATGTATCATCATTATTACTACGATACGATTGACGTTTTTGTAATTTCGACTGTTTTATATGAGAATTTTTTACACGTTTTCTTGATCGACCATCTGAGATAAAAAATGCATCATACGTATAACCAACTGTTACACCGGGTTGAAAACCTGATTTACGATTTTTAGCTTTAGTTAAATCATTTGTCATATGCTCCTGAATATGATAATGATGACGGCGAGATTTGTTTGATGTGTTTCTATGACTTTTATTACTGGTTCCACTACCACTGTTACTACAACTTCTATTTAGTGTATGATTATTGTTGTACGGATTTTGTATATGTTCATCATGTGATAATTCACAACTGTATTCTTCACCCATACTATTTAGATTAGTATGGTTATTACTAGTAGCAATGATGTTATTGTTGCTTTTGATGTTGTGAATATTACTAGTATTATTAGTAGTTGCAGAAGTAGTATTAACAAAGATTTCATTCAATTTATCAGCAGTCGATATTTTCAACTTTAATAATGATGAGAAAAAATCATTTGTACCAGGATAACTATTTAAATTAATATCTGTATTTAACGGAAATGTTAATGAATTAAAATCAATCTCTGCCTGAGTAGGAATTGTTGTCATTGTTGAGAAAATAGTTGGAGAGATTGCTGTTGAAGTTTGTGTTGCCATCATTGTACTTGTAGTTAGCGTTGAAGTTAAAAATGAGGAAATACTAGAATAGTGTTTTAGTTCATTGATAGATTTTTGAATTAGTGATTTCGACAATTCATTTGATTCACTTGCATGTTGTTCAATATTATCACTACTATTATTTGTATTAATATTTGAATATGCATCACTTGATACTACGATATTTGAAGGATTTGATGATGTTTGTTTATTTTGACTTGTTGATGTCTTGTTTGATCCATTATAGGAAAGATCAATACAACCACCTAACAGAAAGGGAACATAAAAAACAAGAATATTTTATAAATAACAAATTCAGTTCATGAAACTTCAATTTGTGCAGATAGTAAATTCGGAAATTTATCTCAACTAGATTCAATAAAAAATTTAATTAATTAGATTACTGAATATTGGTATTTCCTAAAATAACTCAAATTATTGACAGTTTACACGGTTATTGCGTCATAAGAATTGTGATATTCCATTATGATAACTGATTTATGCATGTGCTACTAAGGTAAACGAATACAGAAAATGATCTTAGCTTGATGATCTTGGTAAAAGTTGAAAGGCTTTGAGCTAGTTATTCGCACTACAACCAATTGCCATAAAAATTTACACTTTCCGGAATTATTACATACCTAGCTTCTTATATCCCTATTTTAAATTATTAGTTAACGTTTTACTGTCCAAAACTCTCTCTCTTTCTCTCTCTCTCTCTCTCTCTCTCTCTCTATATATATATATATATATATATATATATATGTATATATATATAGTTATTTGTGTCACCTCTGATATTCACTCTATTAGATATATTGACGGTAAACGAAAAAAGTCGAGTTTTATTAGTGGCCTAGTAAATATATTCTATAAAGTATTGTTCGTCCTTATTCAGACTAAAATAAAGAAGGATATTCAGTCCGAAATAATTATGAGACAATAAAGTTTTCAGACATTCCAAGTTTAATGTTAACTGTACCAAATTTTGTTGTTTTTTTCCAATTGTTTAGACCTCTGAGTTCGCTGCACAATCATAACTTTCAGTTTTTGTCTATATATATGTATATATACATCATCTACGATGTTTCAAAAAGATTAATTTCTTTGTAACTTATACAAACCACAACATTTATTTTATATAATTTCTTTTAAACTGATAAAAAGCATAATGAACTCCATCATTGATTGCGCTATTGTTCTGTTCAGTTCAGAGAGGTTATTTTTTCCCCAGTAAAATACACTTCATAATGTACAAACTAATCTTTTTCACTGGACGGCCGTTTCGTCCTAGTATAGGACTCCTCAACAGTGCACACCCACAATCTCGCCCTACTGAATTCAAACCTATCAGTCTCGCACCAGGCGCTTAACCAACTAGATTATTGAGCTGTCATCTTTTTCAATTAGCTACAGATATCATTTTTATTCAGATTAATTTTTTTTTTTAAAACAAAACAATTTGATTATTGCTCAAGCATCTTCACATCTTCTAATGAGTGATTTGTGTATATTTTTGTTTTCAGAGAAAAAAAAATTTAAATTTAATTAAATACTTTATCAATCTGTTCAAATTAATCTTTTGTATAAAATTGTAGTGAGCACTAATCATCCTATTGACTTTAATATCTTAATTTACAACTATGATCAGTGATCAAAAAGTTTGATAAAAAAAATTTTTTTCCAAATAAAACAACAAAATTAAGAAGAGAACAAAAATAAAATTAATGTTCATTTACATTCAGTTGATTGACACGTTCGATAGAATATTTCAAGTTATCATAATGTACAACACATTTAAGCACATATGGATACATTTATGTGAACATATGTTTATAAATTATTGATTGATAAACTCGACTTTGTTTAATTATTATTATTTTTTCTACTTCGACCCCGCTATCATTCTTGAATGTTTGTGATTTGTTTTTTTTTTTTTCATCACCCTCCTCTAATTCTATCTATACACCTGTTTTTTTTAAGATATATATATTAAAAAAATATATTTACGTCTGATTAATATTCAATAAATTTTGTGACCTGAGATATGAGCATGTAAGAAGTCGGTTCACGCGAACGATTCAAATAGATAAATGAAGTCATAGGAGAAGGGAAAAAAATAGAAAGAACAAGAAGTATGAGGAGAATCAACGAGTTTTACGAAAATGAAACAGTAAAAAGTTGAACTGACAAAATTAAAAAAAATAATGAAACATTTCAGAAACTTTTACTCACAATTAGATTAACATATGGAAAGAGAGATGTAAATGATTTCAAGATATGATGAGAGAAAGAAAAACAGCGAAGAAATCAACGTTTTTTTGTTTTCATCGAAAAATTAGACTGTTAAATATAAATGAGACTATGATTTCACAAGTGTATAGTTATTTTTCTCTTCTCACACCTACCTTTGTTCCCCAAAATATCTAAATAAGTATGTAATACACAATCTGTTCAAATGACAATGCATATACACAACATAAGCGAAAAGTGCATTTTAAAAAAAATATTGCTATTAGTCTAGTTTTACATACTAGTAACACGTACTAAACGACAGCTTGATATCTATTGGCGTTTGCCATATTACTTTTGTAGGTGATTAAACAAAAGAAAAATCATATTCGGAATTTTAATTACTTTCTCCCCTCCCTTTACTTTTGTTAATGAATAGGTGTTTTTATTCTTCTCCCAGTATGTGGTGTACAACAACACTTGAGTTGAAAGGAAGAAAATACTACTTTAGTGGAGGAGAGTGTTGATAATTGTAGTACGTGTGACTGTATGTTTGTATGTTAAACAAAAAAAATTAAGGAAGAATGTGAGGGAGAAAGCAGTTAGTTAACCAACAGATGGGAAGTTGAAGAAAATGTAAAAAAGTTAATGGATCTTTTTATTTCTTAAGTTAACATTTCGACACAACAAAAACCGACATACTTATATATTTATTCGTTTAGAATATCCGTTCAATTCTTCTTAGAGTAAAGCAATGATAGAGAGAGAGAACCAAGTAAGTTCAACAATAACCACTTGATCAAATTGAGAAAAAGCCCTAAAGGCTGATTTTTTGCTTCAAGTTAAAGTGGGTTTTTTTCTCTGTTCTCAATGAACTCGTGTAATGTATATTCACTTAATTCATAATATAATTTATAAAGTTTAGGAAAAACGTTTTAATGATACTTGATTTAATTTACGGTGAAATACACGTGTAACAAATTGTAGATGGATAAAACTGAGCAGTATTTACATTAAAACAAAGAAAATTTTACTGTATTTATATAATTTCTTTTTGACAATTCAATTGTAACTGTGCTTGCAAGTAATTTAAATTGTCTTGAAGCATTTACTATGAATTGATATTAATTGTAGAAACAATAAAAAATAATGTGACGGTGTGCACTAAACAGACTTTTACTGAGTTTTCATGGAGATCATGAACTAATCAATGATTGATCACCATTGGAAAACTTTTTTGGTTGATAAAGTATCATCAGTGTATATCAATAACTGAGCATTGTACTATTACTATTTTTCAGGTGAAGGGTTTTTGGAGATTAGTTCCATTGGAACAAATTAATCATGATGAACCCAAAATTAGTTGCCGATCAATCATTCTCCAGAGAACTTAACAATCATGTTTAAAAGTAAATCCATTAGTAGTACGATATTAATAAGTAAATATATTAGTGATTATTTACTCATCATTGTCAGTCAATCGGATAATATTAGGAATAAGAAAAATATTCATCAGAACATTATTTAGTAATCTAAAATACGTAATTGAGTAAGTATAATAAAATTGTAAAAGTATTTTATGTAGTACTATAAATTCAAGACCAGAAAAAAATCTTGGATTATGTTATTATCATTTGATTACTGACTTTCTAAATTAAAATCTTCTCTAATTGATTTTATGCAAGAGGAAAATTCGGAAGCATTTTTGTCAAACGACATATGATTAAAGGGCTTTTAAAAAACTGTAAAACAGGGTAACTTCTATATTGTAAACAAAAATAGCCTGTTGCGTAATCTAAAATAAAATAATTAAAAGGAAAATAATCACATTCATAATTCATTTACACTAAGACAATATCTTTTCAATTACCACTAATACGTTGTCTATATTACTATCGTTCTATGGAGTGGTGCAAGTTTAAACATATTAAGTCTTCCGGTTTTACAAAATAAATATTTTTTTGTCTCAACTGTCTTAACAATAACAAATAACTATTACAAACTACATGGTTAAAGCAACAATAATTCTTTGTATGTTCAGTGTTTTCTTTCTTCCGCTGTTGTTCTTTTTTTCAAGTTTCACTAAAACAACTAAGATTAGAAAAAACCATTTGTTTCTTGTTTGTTTGTGCAAATATACATCTACGTATGTCTGTAGGTATGTATGTATGGATATATGTGGATGTGACTATTTAAAAAGGTGAAAACCTACACTATAACACGTACATGATACTCATTGTTTATATTGCTTTTTTTTGTGAAATACATACTCAACATTCCTTTTAGTTTCTACCATTTCATTTTAACAATCAGAATCATGGACACAAACAAGAATCATTAAAGTTCACTTGAGTAATGTTTTGTAGTCGTCATTATTATAAAGTAAAAGGTCATATTATACATATTGTAGATTGCTAAGATGTATTTATACATGTTTTGTATAACTTATATAGTTCAACTATTTAATAAGTGTATATAATTAAATATTATGTAGATAAATATCACAACGAATTTATCAATATTTAATATCGAGGTCATTCCAACTTTATTGATAATTGTAGTAATAATAATAATGGATATGTGAATTGTACTTTTGTCGCATTGTAAGCATTATACTGATAAATGATAATGATTATCTAACAATAAAAACAGTATATCATACAAATACGTGTTTGTTCAGATATATTACCAAAATAGACACTAAACAGAAGAAATAAGGGTATAATAGACTTAGTGAACACAACAACTGATATAACAGTTAAAATGACATATTCTACAAAATGAAAATTACAACTTGATACTTTTTTAAAGTCTGTTATGTTATTTCTGTGTAGGAGCGTAGGTGTATGTGTGTGTGTGCGTGACAAGTGAATGTAACCACCTGCATACTAAGTAACCGTAGAAATAAGTGAATGCAATATATGAGACTCAATATTCAGTTTAACATTATTTCTATTAGTTTTTTTAAAGCTGTTTACCAGTAATATTATTATTACTAACAAGATAAATTGACGATTTTTTTGGTTTTTTTTCA